TCAGCCCACCAGGGGGCGCGGCTGGCTGGCATGTGGTGCTGGAGGATTGAACCGCGGTCCCTGTGCTTTGCCAAGCTTGTTCCAAGTAGGTGCTTTAGACCACTGAGCCATCTCTCCAGCCCCATCCCCCAAATTTTAATCTGCCTTTACTTTTTATTTTCCAGATTATCCTGGGCTAAAACATCAAAAGACCCTAGGATTGCTGCAGGTCAACAGTCCCCACTGGAGAAAAAGATCTTGGTAAATAAGTTATCTTCACAACATATAGCTTGGAATTATTCAGAGGCCTTGGGTTGAAATTGTAAGGTTTCAACCTTAGGCTTAAGATTCTTCTGTCCGGGGCTGGTGAGATGGCTCAGTGGTCTAAAGCACCTACTTAGAACAAGCTTAGCAAAGCACAGGGACCGCAGTTCGATCCCCCAGCACCACATGCCAGCCCGCCCCCCTGGTGGGCTGAGCTGGCCACACACACACACACACACAAATAAATAAAAAATTAAAAAAAAAAAAGATTCTTCTGTCCAATTGACATCATATAGCATATCTGCACTAGCCAATATTTCCCAGCCATTTCCACAGTTACAACATAAAGTGTCGCTTTGAAATCTCCTGAAAAAAAATACATGTATAATTAGTTTTTGATTTGTAGGGGTACTTCAAACTTTTAGGTTTTTTTTTTTTTAATTTTTTTTTTTCAGGCTCAGGATGCCTTAAGGGCAGGTCTGGTAAGGCATGAGGATCTGGGGATCAAACCACAGAATCCTGAGCCTGACTGCTTTGCTTAAGCAGGCACTTAAACAACTGAACTAATGGGCAGGCCACTATACTTTTAGATTTCACAGGCTTGCTTTGGGAATGAAGGGAGTCAAATTAAAATTATTACACTAAAGTAGGTAAAACAGAATGTATCTTCTTGGTTTTGGGAGGGGTAGACTCCTGTTTAAATATGTTCAAAGACAAACAGATGATCACATTATAAAATTCTACACCTTTGACAGACTCTAGGTGGCATGCATACAACAGCAGCGAGATACTTGATAACTCAGAAACATCAAGAGGAGTATGAAACACTCTGTAGAGAGCAGGCTCGCTCTCTTGATTACTGGCTTGCCAAAGCAGAGTCCTACTATAATAAAAGAATAATGGACATAGTGAAAAAAGAGGCAACAGGCAATGAAATTAAGATGAAAATGGAAGAGGAAACAGCCCAAAGCGTAGAGGGACAAAAACGTTACTGTGTAGTACCTGAGAGAGAGAAGAAACATGCCGAAGGCCACACACATCCAACAGGCCAGGCCAGAGGGTCTAAAAACATAACATCTAGACAACCACAGCCGCTCAGTGACACATTGCCAAAAATTATGCCAGAAAAGCATGGCATCCAGAAAGCACAAAGAAAGCAGGTAAATGAGAGAGAACAGATGCAAATTAGGGATCACCAGGAACGCATGATTCGAGGGAGAGAACTTATAGAGCAAAGACTCAAGGAGAGAGTCCTGAGAAAAAGCCAGAGCCAGCCGCCCCCACGTGCCAAGTGTGAGGGAGCACGGAAGGAGACCAGGGAGCTTGAGAGGGTCACTGCATACCCGCTTTTCCAGCCGAGCAGGAGAAGTCGGATGCAAGTGACTGTGCTTATGGAAAAGTCTCAGGCTGGAGAGGAAGTGGGCGCAATTCTGAAACCACGCGAAAGAAAATACTTGGCTCTACCCCCCTTTTTGGGACATCAAATAAGAAAATAAAACATTAGGATTAGTAAGTTTCAATGCTTTTGTGATGAAACTATATCTCTTAATTGAATCTTTTGTTGCTAGTTGCCTCTTCTAAGGAATTAGTCATTTCTGGTTTTTTGTTTGTTTGTTTGTTTTGTTTTTGGTGGTACCAGGGTTCGAACTTGGGACCTTGCACTTGCCAAGTAGGAACTTAAGCCGTTGACCTATATCCCCCAATTTGTATCACATATAGTATAAGGTAGTTCTAAATTTGAAAACTTGCTTAGCTCATTCTGTTTGTTTAAAAAAAAAACCTTCTGTTTATTTATTCACATTTTGTATCTTTTTTTGTTCAGTTTTCCTATTTCTAAAGTGAGAACAATACTTCATAGAACCAGTAGGAAGATTATGATTTTTGTGAAGAATTAATGAGTGTCAGTTGTTTTTTTTTTTTAATTTTTTTATTTATTAGAGAGAGAGAGAGAGAGAGAGAGAG